TGGTCTGTTGATTATGTGAATTAATTCTGGCGTAGGGAAGTGGCGACCCCATCGCCCAGCTTTTAGACTGCAATCAGCCACTGGTCCTCCAGGTTGGGGGAACACTTACACTAACGCTCACACAGTACTCTATATTGACCACACTACCTCATTCAAAAAGTCACTCACAGTACTCTTTTTCCTTTTTAAATTTTTCACCACATGGCTCTTGAATTTTGCTATAGAAACTTAGCAGCATTAAGCCTTGTATTATAGGTGTAATACCTACTGTACATTATGTTTTCCTTTAGACATAATATCATATTTTTAGAAGGTAAAAATAATAAAAATTAAAGTTATGGTTCAAATTTGGAAACTGCCATATGTTTCATTGCTAGCATTATAATTACTAGTATTATAGGGTCCTGTTTTCCTCAAGCACTTACCACCTTTTTAATTGGTGAAGTGGTTATCCTCCAATTCTGAACTATGGTAATAGTATCTGTTATTGGAGTATTTTCCTTACATCTTCTTCAACAACATCTGCCCATCAAAGCTATGGGCAGCCTCTAGATCAGTTCCTCTTTTTTTTGTAGTCTCATCCTGGCTACAGCCTACTGTCTTGACTATTCTCTCAGATTCATTAAGTAAGGAGTATATTTGTTTGTTTGTTAACCTTCTCCACGTTAGCCTATTTTCCACGGGGCGGTTGATAACATTTCTCTCAAATGCTATGAGATCCCTTTCATCAGACTTCAAAAAGGCCCACATTTCTGACCTGTAGTTAAGCACTTTCTTAAACAATATTCTTTTTACAGCACTTGATATTGAGCTATTTTCGTATAATTTAAGCAACTTATGATAAAAATGATTGAAATATGCAATTAAACAATTCTTATAAGCAACTATTTTATATATAATGTTACTTATATCTTTTGAAAACATCACCAGTAGCAAAATGAATTAGTTAAAAAATAATTCTTTTTCAAATTTATTATAATATAAATATTAAATAATGACTTAATTTTTTTTAATATAGAGAAATACCAACTTTCTTAGTTTGTAAAACAATTTAAACTCTTTGAGTATTTCAAATAAAATAGAAAATATGTACCACTGCAACCCATGGAGGGGTCTTGGGTTGAATACTTTGTAAGGAAGAACAGTTTTAAGTTGAATGGTTGTGCAAGGATGTATTTGGCCAGGGTCACACTCAATGGCCAGGTTTTCCTGCTTAGTTAAGGTTACCCACTTTATAGAGACTGGGTGTGCCCAAGGAGGGTCCCCAAACCCATAGCCAATCCACGGCTGATATAACACGTAAACTCTAACCCAAGTTGTGGAGGATAGTGCCTTATTCACTGAGATACTCTGCTACTTAAATTAAATATACAAGTTAATTATAATGTTTAAGAAAACTGAAAAAAAATTACACATATTCATTGGCAGTATTAAAATTCTATAGGATTTCTTTTTTAATTAAATCACATTAATAAAAAATCAGTTTATTTAGTCACTATATTTTTCTTCATTATAATCATCAGTTCATTATAATTTCCTATGTAGAGTTTTTTATAAATTAAAATAAATACTATTTTATAATCACCAACTATTTTGATTTAATTATTATTATTGGCATCATTTTTTTATTAATATATCGTGCTTTTTATTGTATAGGTGCAGAGCAGTGGCTTGATTTTTTTATTTTTTTTATTTCCTTAAATAAATGTTTATTGCTTAGTTCCTATTACTTTGGTGCGGTTGTGCGGTTCGGGTGTGTCGTTCAATATGTTGATTATATTGTGATATTTAAAAGTGTAGTTTATGTGAAGTGAGTTTCATTAATTACCGCCGCGGACATTCGGTTTTTTCGATTCGAAATCTGCTAGGTTTAAAGACCTTGGCAGATAGTGAACTTCAAGAATGAAGCATCCAATATCTCTGAGGAATCATGGGTAAGTTCTATGCCATATTATTTATTTTTCCATTTTTAAAAAAAATGTTAGTGGTTTTTTATTGTTTTTTCCTTACTTTTATCTAAGAAGCTAATTTAAAATATTATTTTAATTTTCACCTATTGTGAAATTAAGTTAAGAACAAAAAGCAAATCTATTAATATAATAAAAAAAGAATGTTTTTGAAATCATTTAAACTATTTTTTAGAATAAATTATTTTATTGAAAATATAGAAATTAAAATTCAATAATGAAGTATAAATAGATTATTTGAAGAATAGATTTTGTAAATTTATGAGTAATGATTTGTTTATTTTGTTTACAGCTATGGATCATGGACACCTAATGGATAACAGGTACTAATTTGAACTATTAATTAATATTTATTAGATACATTTATTTTAACAATTTTTTATTTTATTGTATAAAATGTAACATCTCTCTTATATTTGACAAATAATAATAATATAACCTCGGAAGATCACTTTATACCGTTAGGATACTTCCAAAAGAAACAAGAGGTTGTTATAATAATGAACAAAATTATGAGAGTATTAGTATATTTATTTATCTCAGGTGTGGGTTACTGACAATCAGATCAACTCGGAGAAACTATTATTATTTACATTATTTATGCTAAAATTAAACGCTGATTTTAAAATAAAGTCAAATATGGATTGGCTAGATAATTTTTTTTTATATACACTGTTTCTTCCTTTGTTGCACTAAATTCATTTGTCTTCAAATGCTTTCCAATGTTCTGTTAAACACAACTTCCAAAATAGTGACACTTTCTTCTTTTCAACTCAAGCTCCCTGGGAGATACTCTCTCTTGTAATTCCAAACAACTAGTCTCTCTGCCAAACAACAACTTCCAAGATGGTAATACTATTACTGGATTTTTCTCACTGGAGCCAGGATCACTTCTCCTATCCTCTTTTCACTGCAGCCACACAACAACTACTTGCCAAAACAAAAACCTTTGTCAGTCTCCTCTTTGGGATTTTGCTTCTTGGGATACTACAGAGCAGTCATTTTCTTTTCCCTGCACTAGTAAAACTAGATTAGCTTGCCTTTTAACTGTTCAACATTAATTTATAAATCCTTTTTATCCACTTCCAATACAGGTGTACATTACAATATATTATTTTTTAGTATTTTATTTTGTTATTGCTTTGAAAAGGAACCAATATTATCTTACTTTTGATTATGAGTTTCTTTATTGTATTTGGTGTTGAAAGGTTAATAAGCTTATTTAACATTTATTTCTAATTTTTACTTTCACTTACCCCTATATATACAATATTAGTTCAGTCAATAAAGGTATAGATTGCATGAGCAGGGATCTAAGCAATTTCTTCAGAAACTTGTTCGGCGTGCTTAGGGTATGAACATATCAATAGTCCTGGCGTCCAGGTGGTGAGCCGGGGGAGGAAGGGTCACAATTTTTGGATTTTCGCTTATATCTTGAAAACGGTGCATCGGAGGAGAAATTTTTTGTATAATAAATTAAAGTTTATAAAATGATCTAAAACTTTTATTCTATAGGTCCACATCCTAAACTGTTTTTGAACTACATGCTCGAAAAAAGATGACATTTAAAAAAAAAAATCATTTTGTCTCACATTTTTCATTAAATATTCCTTCATATCATCTGAGAAAGAAATTCATTTTTTAAAAAGTTGTAGACTTAAAATTTCCTAATAGAATATATATGCATATATAAATTAATCTCCAACCAGTCTACAGTTACAGATATTTTAAAGTTATTGTAAAATGTTATCAGTTCTTTAACTGTAAAAACAAGAAGTTCTTTAACATAGTTTAACTTTTAAACCTAATCCTTGACCTTTTTCCGGGTAGGTGAATAATTCTGACAAAAGCCAAGGAAGTGCAAAATTCGAAAATAATAAAGTTAAGCCAAACCAAAGGTTCAATGCCGATACCACCAATAAATTTATACCTTTTCCATCCACCGGGCGCTGTTTAAACCCAACCCTACCAGATCAGCCTTAAAGCAATCTTCCCATCTTTTCTTTGGTCTAATCCTCGGACACTTGCCACATATATATGTGCTCGATACAGCACATATTAACTTTTTATGAATTCTTTCGTTACTAAGCCCAGTGATTTCACATGTCCATTTTATTCACCTTATCTTAATCATCTCAATTATATTAACCAGATGCAATTCACGCAATGCAGAGCTTAAGTGTCTAACGCAGAAATCAACAACTTCAATATTGGATAATAAGTATTTTTAACTTGATTAAATAGATTCAGATACTTAAGAAATTTTTTTTAAATATGATCTTTAAAAATATAAATAATAAACCCTTCTTTATTGTTGGAAATAAAAACTTCCAATTATTAAACAAATAGTTTATTTGTTATTATCATTTTAAGTTGATGTTTCGGGAAATTATTTCCATCCTTCATAGTAATAAATGGCTAGAAAAGATTTAAAATTAAAATGAATTTATGTTAAAAACTTGTCAGTGTAATGTTGTTACATAATTTGCTATATTTACCTGAAACCTCACGTGCTCCTTCTAATAACAATACTACACACTTTAACGCTAGTGCACTATATATGGTTTACATGTATACAAAGAAAAAGTAAATAAATAAATGAAATAAAATTAAATGAAACTTGTCTATTAATTGTTAGTGAGAAGTTTTAATTACAGAAATCGATAAGTATTACATAGATACGGAAGTATGAAAATGAAGTAGGTGGTGGAATAACAGTTGTTTGAAGGAGTTTAAGATTGAAGATTGCCATATGGGGATGGGTAAAGAATTCCAGAAGGAGTTAGCATGAATCACGAAGGATTTATTGAAGGATGTAGTTTTATGAGAAGGGATATATAAATCAATAGGTTAAGACCTGTATTAATAGAGTGGATAGAGGAACGTAGAGTGAGGAATTCCATGATATAGGGAGGATTTTTGGTTCTTAGGACTTGGAAGAGGAAAACAACACGAAGGAATTGTCGTCGGAAAGTAGGATAAAGCCACTTCAACTCGGTGTACCACTGGGTAATTTACACTGGGTACAAATTTAAAAACAAATTAATCAATAATTATATATTTTCAGTTTTTATTTTTAAAAATCAACAAAAATCTGTACAAGAAAAAATTATTCAAAATAATAAATAATCATTTTTAAAGACATATGTTTTAAGAAGAAATCTTTTAGTAACAGGTAACATATACATCTAAAAAACAACTTAATTAACGATAACATTAAATATTTATTTTTAAACACTATTCATCCTACAGCTTTTATTGGAACTGGTTCCTCGACAGCCTCTAGAGGTTCCCCGCATTCAATCCTGACAAAGTCAACAATTTTTATGCCAGAATTAGCGAGAAACTGGCTCACAGTGAGCTCCGGATCCAGAAGAAATTCTTGATGAATCATAGTTAATTCATCATCCTTATCCACAGCTGGTTCATCTTCTCCCATGATTCCAACTGTTTTTGGATTCATCCCTGTAAAAATAAATGTTTAGATTAATATCAATGCTGTTTATTACTGTGGTTATTTTTGGTTTATTAATTTCAATAATCAACCATTGTGATCGACCAAAAAATTCAAAAACTTAACCTCCTCTCAAAATTTGAGGTTTCACGTTTCAGGACGCATAGAATTCGAAAAACGAATACAAATTTTTTTGTCCGTCCACCGTCTGTGCATTTTCTCCGAAACTACAGGACCAATTTTTTTCAAATTTTGATATAAAATCAGAGGTCACTGGAGGATGATCCTCCTTCATCGACATTACTATCCACCTTTAACTTTCAAAATGGCGGCCGAAAAACCTGCATTGCTATAGGCTGTAGCTCCTAAACGAATGTACAGATTTCAATGAAACTTCGCTAAAGTCATTTTCTCGACGCCCTTTAAATTTATCTATATAACATACTTCAACGAAAAGAAGCTGGAAAAAAAGTTAAGAGGAATGGTAAAATTAAATTCCAAATAACTCGAAAAGTTTGTACTTTTTTGTTGATATTGTATAGTTTTTTAAAAATTTACTTAATTTCCTAAAAAAAAAAAAATCGTTAAAATAGGATAATTAGGAGCAAAGATATGGTCTTCAGTTTTTTTTATATGTTATACTCCAAATGTTATATCCTTGGTTTGGTTTTTAAATTTTTGAATGTGTTACTGAACTAATGCTATTTTTTTTAGCATATTACTAATGATTAAAAAATAAAAGTTTAGTCCAATAATTGGAATCACCTTTTGTTAATTTTTCTTTGTAACTTGGAAGGTAATGTTACTTTAGATGTATAATTGTTTGGAAATAATAAACCATTGTGAAATAATTTGCAGCGTTTTTTTAATCTAGAACAAAAGAGTCAGATAATCGATAAATTGTCAATATTTTATTATTCAGACCACTTTTCCTTCAAAGTACAAACGCATATCTCTTTTAAAATTGTATCCTTTTTACACAAAGCCAACAATAATTACTATTTCCAATGGGGTGCCGGGACAGGTAAGATTATCGGAAATGAGATGGCAGACAAAACTGCAAGTCCAAATCAGGTCGATGTAGAGATGATTGACCGTGATATAATATGAGAAGGAGTTAATCGGGGGTGGGGAGGGTGCGGTCAAATAAATATTAAATTTTTAAAAAATAGTATTTTTGATTAAGGGCGTAATAATTAATAAAATAAAACCAGCAGAAAACACAATTGAGGAAACGCTGGTTTGGCCATGTCAAAAGAATGCAGGAGGGAAGAATGGCCAAAACTATATATGAAGTAAAAGTGGAAGGAAGAATGCCGAGAGGAAGCCCCAGAAAGACCTGGGAAGATTCAGTCAGAGAGGATTTCGATAGGAGAGGAATGAATTGGAATAGACGCAGTCAGAACGCAGGAACGAGATAAATGGATCAAGCTCTATAAACAGGATCCTCTACACTGATCTAGCGGTAGAAGAGGAATTGATTAAGAAGAAGAAGAAGAAGTATTTATTTGACCGCACCCCCCGACCAACTCCTGAAAATCAGGTCCATCGCATTAATGTCAAAGTTCCATTATTGGACTTGATGGTAGTAGTGAAGGAAAAGAAAATGAAGGAATGGGCAGCGTTTTTACAAATGTGAATGTGCCTTGAGAAATAAGGACCACCATGCAGTTCATCCGAAGATAGCGAGACTTAAATTTCTTCTCAATCACTCCCTATCTTAGTGAAGCTGACCAGGCTCAGAATTAACCATATCTTTAATAAAACTCATTATCATTTGGTTTTAGACACTATTTTTTCCCCTTTCGCCTTTTTAACACGGCGTCGCGTTGATAGAATTTTGAATAATAGGTCATCACAAATATTCATTACAAATAGTCATGTTTTTTCATTATTATTTTGTTTTTTAAAGAAATTACAAGTAATTAACACACAGGAGGTTCCATTAGGTCCAAAACAGTGGTTTTATATAAAAAAAAAGATTTTTTAAAGGGCTTCTCCTTCTACTATCACCTACTACAGCCTAGTTGTCCAATGTAGAATATTAATCTCGAGGAAAGCCCGATTTTGAGTATAAACCCAATGCGAGTTTTCATATAGTCTTATATTTTAATCCCATATCTTTCATAAGAATTTGAGGTGGATATTGGATTGAGACAGGGTGATCCTCTTTCTCTCCTTCTTTTTAATCTTGCCTTGGAAGTGGCTATTCGTTCTATTCCAACAAATCCAGGAGGAACAATTTACAATTGTATGTCTCAACATCTGGAATATACCAATGATGTTGCCATTATCTCTAAAACCCAAGCAGCATTATCAGGAACTTTCCAGGAATTCGAAGAAGCAATGGCTAAACTGGGCCTTAGAGTTAACGAAAATAAGACAGTGTATATGTAAAATTTAAAAATGGAAAAAGAAATAAGGACAGAAATAGCTTTAAGGGATCACAATTTTAGGTCTGTTGACCAGTTCAAGTATCTTGGAAGCCTGGTCACATGCAATAATAAAATAGAGAGTGAAATAAACACCAGGATGCTATTTCACACTGCAAAGAGACTTGAAATTCATATCACTCTCTAAAAGAATCAGAATTCTCATATACAAAACCATAGTAAGAACAGTGGTTATGTATGGGTGTGAGACTTGGAACTTAACCAAAAACTCAGAACGCACGCTCAACTCCTGGGAGAGGAAAGTATTGAGAAGAATATAGGGCGGAATCTTTGAGAATGGAATTTGGAGAAGAAGAAAGAATCAGATGGTTAGATCATGTGGAAAGAATGCCAAAGAAGATGCTGCATGAGAAGCCAGATGGAAAAAGAAGTAGAGGGCACCCTCAGATCAGATGACTGGAGAATGTTGAGGACGATCTGAGGCGACTGGGCGTTCGAAGATGGAGGGAAGTAGCAGAAGACCGTGGAGATAGGTTGGCTGTGGTAGAAGAGGCCCGGGTTCTTACAGGACAGTAGTGCCATTATAATAATTATAATCTTCCATAAAACTCGTCATCATTTGGTTTTTGACACTATTTTTCCCTTTTCGCTTCTCTTACGCTATAAGATACAATTTTGAATGACAGCTCATTACAAATAGGTAATTTTTTTATTTTTCATTATTCATTTTTAAAGAAATTACTAGTAATTAACAGTAGGTTTTATTAGGTCCAAAAAGGTGGTTTTGTAAAAAAAAAAAAATTTTAAAAGCCTTCTTGTTCTACTACCCTACATGTGGGCAGACTATGGGAGAGGAGAGGGATGATTGTCCCCTTCCTCCCAATAAAAATATTGGGGAGCAAGAATATCGTTTCGCCCATCCTCCAAATAATTAATAATAATGAAGTAAAAAAAAAAATTAATAACAAATAAGCTACATGAATAAATAAAATATTTAAACTAAAATCTATAAAGAAAATTTGACAAGCTGGCTAAGCTAAGGCCTATAAGTAAGCACATAACAAATAAATTTCTACATATAATGGGTCTAAAATCCAAGGCACATTACCTTCTAACGTAAAAGGTTCAATAAAGGAAGGAGAATAAGTTTAGGGTCACTTATTCTCTGTGTCACTCCACAAGCTGTGGATTATAGAATTAGTTTTATAAGATCAGTAAATAAACATAATGCCCTTAGATTAGGATAATTTTTAAAAGCATCAATATAAGCCCCTTATGCTCTTTTGAGATTCATAAACCTAAATCTAAGTTCAACAAAACTCATGTAAGTCTATAAAACAATCTTCAAATATTGGGCTGAAAAAATAGTAACATTAGATGAACAAGAGCTAACTTCCGTAAAACGGGAAAACCCTTTATAAACCAAATCCCATATCTAATATTAGTTAAAACTAAATGAATCTAACTTGGAGAAATTATTTTAAGAAGTGAGCTCTAGAAACAGTATAATATAAAAAACATAAAAACCGCAAAAATTAATTTTATTAAAAATAAACCGAATTCTTTAAAAATCCCCTTTTAAGCATGATTTTTATTAATAAATTTTATCATTATAAAATATAGATATCTAGGGGGAGGAGGTTTTGGGATAAAGCCCCTCCTTCTCCCTTCTCTCCGCCCCCAAAAGGGTAAAATATAACCATGTTTTATGGCAAAAAAATGATCTCTTAAAGTATTATTGCTCGTGTAATTACATTTAATGACTTCAAGAATCACTTAAACTCTATTTCATATAGGTAGTTAGTTTCTTTCTTTTATTTCCAAAGTTATTATCACTATACAGGATGATTCGTAATTGCATGGCACTATTTTAGGTATGTGCTCATTAACACAAAAAAAGTTCATATTAACATATATCTCAAACTCATTTATTAAACAGTTATAAAAGGTTAAAGATTTATTATTTATTTACTACATTAAGACTGACTGTGCAAAGTTTATCGTGTTTAATACTAAATAACAGATTTTAATCACCTGATAAAACAAATAAACGATAAGCAATGACAGTAGTTGCTCATCTGTTTGTCACTAGTGTGAGTGAATACTGTGATTAGTTCACTTTATGATTATCATGGGAAACACCATAAATTCATTCACTTTTACAGAAGAAACAGACATGCTTTTAACTTATGGCGAGGTAAATTCTCTAAATGTTGTAATAATAATAAATAAATAGTAATAATAAGTAATAAATCTTTAACAATTTATTATTTATGTAAGCACATATTACATTATTTATGTGCTTACATTTATTCTCCCTGCGACGCTTAAGGAGACAGCCCTGATGAAGGCCTGAACTTCAGGTCGAAACGTCGGCATATGTAAAAAATAAATATTAACATTTATTTTAGCCTTCCTTTTTGACTGACCACCCCAACTATCTTCTCTTCATAAATCTTTAACCTTTGCTATATGTTTAATAAATGAGTTTGAGATATATGTTAATATGAACTGTTTTGTTTATTTTGTGTTAGTGAACACATAACTAAAATAGTGTGCCGTGCAATTACGAAACATCCTGTATATATCTAAAAATAAGGTTTTCCGGCTGAAGTCCCTCCAAAATTAAATCCTGGATCTGCTAGTGGTATGTTCTCTTCCCGTTCTCCTGTCATTCCCTAGCTTGGTGAGCATTCTTTCTGAAAATCGGGATTTTTCCGCCAACAGCGAGACCATTGGTAACCTAAAGAATAAACAATCCCGCATTGGGTTTGTATTCGAAATCGGAGTTTCCTGGAGATTAATATGTACTTTCGGACAGACCAATGCGATCTTGACACACCTCTAAATCAAACATAATACTTCTGAATTAATACCTATTATAATTTAGACATATAAAAATTAACAACAAAAGAATGCAATATGATCTTTAAGATTTCTTGAACACCATCATGAATTAAATTAATTACCAACAACATGCTGACATAACTGCATAGCCCACTCCTGCCTTTGAGCATCGTAGGAATCAGCAACATAGGCTATTATTGCACCATATTTTCCAGTTAGAACATTTGTAGTATTATTATTATTAGGATGAGCGTATGAGGCGAGCTGTATGCCTTCCGGGCAGGTAACGTAAATTGCCCTCCTCAAATTTATATTTTCACCCAATTCTGATATAGTGAGTGCAGACAAATCCGAAAGGCTTTTGCCTTCAGGAGTTGGCAGGGTCTTTAATTCTTCACCAGCAACTGTTACCTAAAATTGCAAAATATTTCTGAAATTGAAGTTTTAAATGCTCAACATTATAGTAGCAATATCAAATACTACAAACCTTCTTCAATTCTGATCCAGTATTAATCTTTGATACTTCATGAAAGCACGAATTCACAGAAAGATCAACAAATGATTTGAATTTTTTATTTCTTGCTACAAAATCTGTTTCACAATTTATTTCTAGCATAACTGCACGATTTTCTTTAACTAAAAGACCAACCAAACCCTGGGATGTCTTTCTTCCTTCCAGTTTGCTCGCTTTGGACCATCCAAGGCTTTGAGCTTGTTCTTTTAACCATTTTTCGGCCTATACAAAAAAAGTATAGAATGACATCCATTCAAGATTGCATTATTACAACTATCAGTTATGTAAAATCAGTTAAAATAAATCAAATCACTACAACTATGCGAATAAATCAACTTACTTCTTCCACATTATTATTCAATTCAAGGGCCTTTTTACAATTTGCGAATGTATAACCAGTTTTTTTGCGTAGCTTAGCTAAATCTGACTTGTTAACGTTCCATAAAAGAGAAGTGTTGTGAAAAAATCTGCTTATCTGTCTCGAAATCATTTTTTAAAATAATTTACTACTATAGTATAGCTTACAGGCAACTTTAAAATTAGTAAAAAGGTAAATCTATAATTCGATTTCTTATTCAGGGTATATTGTCTAAAATTGGAATACACGAGATTAATAAATTTTACAGTAAATATCTCACATTTATCTTAAAATGATTAAGTAATTGTCGGAACTTGAAGAAGGGAGAAATCTGGTTACATGAAAGCATTATAGCAAAACCAAAGAGAAATCTCATAGAGAAAGGACATCGTCTCTGATCAAATCTCAACACTAAACAAAAATTAATAGAATTTCATCAGCTAAATTTGTCTCCTTTGTAAATTAGTTTAATTGTCCTTTGAATCATGCGGATTTCTTAAATAAGTTATCAACCGCCTTATTGAAGTAATAATACTCTGTTGAATATTAAGATTTTGAAAATGTATTTGTTATATTTTCCTTAATTTCATCAGCTATGTACTTTCTTTGATTTTTTTTCTTGTGTTGGTTTTAAGTATTTTATTAACTCACTTATTTGGTTACGATCTTACGTTTTGAGCGATATTCCGCGTTGTGATACTTTCTTTATTCCGAAACAAACCATCTAGTCCAGTCAATGAATGATTAAAAAAGGAAATAACAGTGAGATAATTTTTGACTTCGGGAAATTCTTTGGATTAGTAAGAAGGTAAACATTCTAGGTCATTTTTTTTCGGGTTTTCGCTTATAACAAGAAAACTATCAATCGCGTCGACGAAGACGTTCTATACAAAATTAAAGATGATAAAATTTTCAATATAATTAATTATATACTTTTTTTCGCTATATCGCTTAGTTTCCGAGATATTCGTCTTCAACTACAGCTAATTTTGAAAAAACAAATTTTGCCTCATACTTACTGTTGTTTTTCTGGTTTTCGCTTATAATAGGAAAACTATCAATCGCATCGGCAAAGACGTTATAAACAAAATTAAAGCTGATAAAATTTTCAATATGATTCATTATATACCTTTTTTCGGTATATCGCTTAGTTTCCGAGATATTCGTCTTCAACTATCGCGAATGTGAAAAAAAAAAATGTTTTTTACTGTATTTGACTGGCTAACTCTTGATCGCTTCGTTCTACGATTAAGGCACGCGGAAAAAAGTTTTTAATAATTAAATTTTCTTTAAGAATATACATTATTTTACTAGTTTATCTTCAACGGTTCAAAAGTTAGATCAATTATAACTTTAAATGTCAATTCCGAGAATTTGCGGAAAAAAATATTTTTATAATACACGTTATTTTATATATGTATATGTGTATATATACGTAGAGATTTAGGCATTTAGATCACGGGCGCTCCAAAATGGTAATAAAACAACCCTTCTTCACTCATTCTTTAGTCCAAAATGCCTTTCTCTTCACTTTTTTTTTTCAACGGTTTATGCGTCAAACAAGCGATAAAAATTAGGAAAGGATTATCTTTCGTATCCGACATCTGTACTACTACTTTTTATTCCAAGAATATCTTAATCTAAGTCACTAGCGGATCAAGGATTTAATTTGGGGGGGGGCTTCAGCCCGAAAGCTTTTTTTTTCATAAAAATAACGATAATTACTTTGGAAAAAAAAGAAATAAACTAACTGCCTGGATGAAATGGTATTTAAGTGATTCCTAAAGTCATTTTAAATGTGATTACGTGAACAATAATACTTTAAGAGATATTTTTTAAATATTTTTTTCCATAAAATATGGTTACATTTTAATCAAGGTATTGTTACTCATGAAGGTATTGACCAATTTTCGATTAATTTTAAATTTCCATATTTTATTCTATCAAGGCTTTGCATGAATAACACGATTTGTGAATTCTTTTTATGGTAAAAATTGATAACTCACGTGATTGGAGTCATAAAATCGTCAGTCCCCCGTGGCATGGGCAGATCTATAGGGGAGGGCTTTCAGGCTGAAGCCCCCCTCTCCCCAAAATCCAGGTTGAGGATAATAATGAATATAACATAATGATAAATCATGTTGCTATCTCACAGTTTCTTATAAATTTCTTTCATTCGCTTATATTGAACATTTTGGTGATTAGTCATCTTCATCATTTAAGAACTAACCAGTAGAATAAAAATGTTCAACACCACAGGCTCATCTATGGGACACAGAGGGGGGTTGGACTGAAGCTTACCCTATGAATTATGAAAAAAAAAAAACTTTTTAAAGTATTATTGTCCATGTAATTACATTTAACAGTACTTATAGAATCACTTCACAAACACCATTTCATATAGGTAGTTAGTTTCTTTCTTCAGTAATTTTCGTTTATATTTATATAGATATTAACTGTCCTTGGAAGTAATCATGAAGACATTAAACTCACTGTAACACTGATAAGAGAGGCAGAGTAGATCAGACTACAAGTAAATGAAGGCAAAACAAAATATATGATAATAAGCCGAAAATTCCATCCCAATAACAGGATCTGCGTAGCAGAGAAATCATTCCCGAGAGTAGAAAAACAATAACCTCAATGAATGACCAATGGGCAGAAATAGACCAACCTATAACTAGCGCAAACGGAGCTTTCAAACTAAGGATGTACAATGCTATGATAAAGACAGCCCTAATATATGGCTGTGAGACCTGGACACTAAGCGGGACCCTAGAAAAAAATTTTGTAAGATTTGGGAGCAAAATCCTCTGCTGGATTACCGGAGCAATCTGAGATCAGAGTAATAACGCATGGAGAAAAATAATCAATAAAGAACTGTTAACAGAAACTGTTCAATCAATATACCATGATATGAAGAGATGGATATTAAGATGGACTGGGCATGTAGCTTGGAGCAATTTATCTGGAAGCTTTCACGTAACAATGAATGCCTCAATAGAAAAGAATATATATATATATATATATATATATATATATATATATATATATATATATATATATATATATATATATATATATATATATATATATATATATAAAATTTTGGGGCTGAAGCCCCCACCAAAATTAAATCCTGGATCTCTTAGTGTTCAACAAGATTTCATTGATATAACCTCAATAAGCTTTGAAGAAACTAGTTAATTAAATCAATTCTCCAGAAGATAAATTATCATATTTTTAGGTTTATGAAAGCTTTATTGGTGTCAAACATTTCTGTTCTGCTAGTTAGTGCTTGAATGCTGAAGAATAATTTTATTCTAGAGTTATAGAAGAGATTGCTTAAGATGGCTAATCACCAAATGTATGTGAATTGAAATAAAGTTAATAAAAATTGTGGTATGGGCAATAAAAAAAATTGTTTATTATCGTATCTATTAGTGTTCCAATCAAGATATATGATAAGATATGGTTATAACTTTGAGATAATATCACTATTAAAAAAAATGATAGAAAAGACATGAAGACGTTAAGAAAACATGATAATTATTAGAGCAAAACATATCAGAATGCATCAGGATTATGAGGCAAATGTAACCTTAATTGCCAAAAGCACCTCATGGTGGTCAATAGATAAGAAACCTTTATGAGTTTACTAAAAAAAAAAAAAATTCCTTTATGACATATAATCCTTCAAGTAAAGGTTTTGGGAATATTTTAGCATCATCAGAACTATTTTTAGTTTTATTTTACAATTATTTTATAGAATATAAGAATAATTATAAATATATTGTTAAAATGGTTATGGTTCACAATTACAATTATCTGTTTTGTTTGTGTATTCGTTAGAACATTTGACCAATGTACTGATTATATATCAGATTTTTTTGTTTCCAACCTCATGAATTAGTAACCCAGAACTTCCCAACTAAAGAAAAAAAAAAAAATCTTTTTATTTGTATGTATTTTTATCTTTTACTGAGCCCGTATTAACTTCTACTATTAAATTTTACTTGTTTTAATTGATTCCACTCAATTTAAAATTCGCAAGATAGCGCTTTAGTTTTATAAACTGTTATTTAGCCAATTGTTTATCTTTTTTGCAGATTGAACTAGTTACAAACATTTTGGGGATTTCTACATATCATCCAAGCTTGTTTTTCATATACATTAAATGTTAGTGAAAATTCACCACTTTATCATCTCTGTAAATAGCATTTCTTATTATTTGCCTTCAAGTTTAGAGTGAGGAAAAACTTAATAAATAAATATAATGCTAACATTTTATTAAATTTTACTTTTCAACTTATTAACATTGCATTCCACAATTTTTTTTTTTAGGTAATATTAAAATATTATATATTCTTCGAAGATAAGGATTTTTACCAATGACAGTTCCTCTGTAATTTATATAATTTTATTTTACATCTTCATCCCAGAGAAGCTTTGGGTGCCCCTACACCATATTCATCTAATAATTACAATACTTCATTAATCAATAACAACAATTCCATATAAGCTACATACTTTTTAATTGTCAATTGCAACTATTATCATATCATGCATATATTTTTTCTTACTTTTTATATTTAAAAAATACAAAGGATTGGAACAGTATTCATTTTCTTTATCTCATATTATATCTAAAATTATTTTAGATTAAAATTGGCAAGTATAACATTTTATCATTAATTAAATTTAAAAAAAATGTATTGTCTTCTCAGAGAACAGTACTTCCCTTTATCAGACACCATCTTACTTAATGCTGATCATTTACGGTCAGTACCATCTATATTACAGAACTTTTTAAACAACTGCATGACAATTAGAAAATATGTAATATTTATGAACTGTAAATGTAATTGATGTGTTCTAATTATAAATACTAATATGGTGCAGGTACACCAAAAGCTTCTGTGTGTTTAAGATATAAAATAAAATAATATAAATTATAGAGAGGCAGTTATTGGTAATAATTCTTATCTTCAAAGAATATATAATATTTGATTGCCTAATAAAAAAAATCTGGTGGCACTACACACAACTTTCTATTACTTAGACCACAAATTATTTTCAGGCAATGTTGGGCTATTCTAAAATTTTTGAAGTGTATTTTTAACGGATCTAAAGCTTAAAGCTTACAGCTAGAAAATCATTAAGACCATTAAAATAACAAAAACTCTATTAATTATATTAACGGTAGGAAATAAAAACCTCGTTACTTCATGTTTTTATAAACCATGTAACTTCAATCTCTGAGTTGTAAATATACATATATATGCCTAGAGAGATTTGAAAGTATATCTGTATATTCAACCTA